TATGTTGGCCCCCCTTTCAGGCTTTTGGGGGGCCATGGCCCCGGTGGCCCCCTCCCTGAATCCACCAGTGGGGGGCGGTGCCACCACAACTTTCAGACGGAATACCGCCCTTTTTGCAAATGTTTTCTTTTTTTGTTGAAAAAGCCAAGAGATGAAAAATAAGTGGCCTAAAACCGGTGAGAAACTAGATTTGGGGGGACCCTAGGTTGATCTCTATTATGGTGTGCCCCCCCCCCCCTCCCCAGTCTGAAAGTAGTTCCCGCACCCCTGACTTTCTCTACGCTATTGAATCACGCTGCTGATTCTAGTAGGTATCTACTACGCAACCATCTCACATTAATTTTTCTTCAAGCGTTTTGGGGGGGGGCCAAAAGATATGTTGGCCCCCCCTTTCAGGCTTTTGGGGGGGGCCATGGCCCCGGTGGCCCCCCCCTGGATCCGCCAGTGTATGTGTTGTTACTGTATTGGAGGATGACAGACTTTCAATTGCCTTGCATACACCAATTAACCTGGATGCAAGGCATAATAGTCTGCTGTGTCGGTGTGGGTGCGCTCAGCTGCTGTACAGTGTCCCATGCGGTGTGGCTTAATAGAAATGTAGTTAGAATTTGAATCAAGAAGTGGGCTCCTGATGTGGCACCATGTTGGACTGCTGTGCTGATGTTTTGATTCAGAAAATGATGGGCATTACTGAGACTCAAGTTTAAATGCTACGTAAAGTGAGGTAAAACTGGAAGGATTTATGTATTTCAGTCAATACTTATGTGACAAACCACAACTATCAGAGTGACAACAAGCAGCACACCATATCAACAATGCTGGAAGTTTGCACATACCACGCTTCCCCAAAACTGGTAAATGTCAAGATAAAGTCTGAATAAGTTTTTAAGGACAATTAGGACTGGTGCATACTAACAAAGTTATAAATGTGGTTATTATAAAAAAGCAAAATTAGACAAATTATTCCCTGGCCAGCCTTACTGCTAATGCCATATATCATTTGGCTTTGCCTAATCTTAAAAAAGATAAATTAAGTCTGCTGCCAATGTCATGTTTTGCTGTGTGGCCAATTTGAATTCATATGACAAAAATAAGGGCAAATGCTATACAAGTGGCTAAATAAGTCATGTCCTTGGTTAAGTATGGATTTTTAACACAGGTGCATACTGGCATGTAAGTGATGTGATAAGTAGTGAAGTGTTCTGTCTGTATGTCTTAATGCTCTGAATAACATTTTAGGGTGACGTGAGATTGACTTTTGATGCCCTTTTATGACAGACACACATAATACTTCATTTCTGACTTAAGTGGCTAATACAATGCATCATTTGCAAAACATTCCTTATTTCCTAGCCTGGCACACTGATTAAAGTGAAAAAGCCCAGAACATACCTATCTCTTTAAGTTACATGTTCCAAAAGCTCAGCATAAAAGCACTTTATCTGGGAGGGACACAATCATGCTTTATCTTTCCCATTGTACCTACAACCCAATTATTACCTTTTGAATTTTGATATCTTTTAATTGATAATAAATACTTTCTGATGTCATAGACTTTCTAAATAAGCTCATAATCTTATTTGTATACCTTAATTGATTATTCTATCTATTGATTATTCTATCTAGAAAACCTCCAGAGTTTATATCAGGGTGAAATTTATCTTCCTTCATCTTGCCCATTATCTGATGCAGTTTGTCATGGTGCATTTCCGGTGTAGGTATTCTTGCATGGATGCATGGAGTGGACAGTCATTGCTTAGTCAGGAGTCATGGCTCATGAGAAGGGGAAATGCAAGCCCACCAGAAAGTCCATGTAGATAATTTGTTTTGCATATTTTCTTTTGTTTAGATCCGGAAATTATCAGCTGGCTGATTTCATCATCAAATTAGGAAGTTGAGAGGATGGCCATTTCATGGCAGATTAGCCAAGTATGGCAGCACAGCAGTAAACTGCATAAGTCTTAGGACTACTCTGAACAGCTCACACCAGAGGGACTTGAAATCTACACCAGGCAGACCAAGCATGGGATAGAAATGGGATAATGCCATTTATAGCCCAGCATTTATTTGTTGGTGAAGCCACACTAAATAATTTATTGCCCGAGGGGTGTTCACGGGCACCGCACACTGCTGCGTGCGCTGTGTGCGGTGCGTCCAGCAGGCGTGGGGGTAGGGGATGGGTAGGCGGTTCTGACGTCACGGCTGCGTGCGGTGGACGGTCCGCTGTGGCCAGTCCCGACCGGCCACAGCGATCGCTGTGTGCGGTGACGGAAGGCTGACGTAGGGACGCAGTGGGCGGAGCTTGGAGGCTGTGTGCGGTCCGACCGCACACAGGGCCCGTGAACAGCCCTCTGGTTGTCAACCCTGCAGATCTCATATGTGAGATGGGTCATAACGTTTTGCACTGCGCACCATCGCCGCATTGTCACATAGGACTGGCAGGGCCTGCACTGCACCATGTAGAATGTGCACAACATTGACTGAGATCCTACACTGACCATATTCTCGTTGAAAGTCGAAACTACCATACTTCGCGGTCTGCGTAACAGCCAACCTCTAGTCGGCGGCTTACGGCCGTTCAGAATCCACCCGCCTCCCTCCGGGACTGAAGGTAGGGGCTGTCGATATTTGTTTTTGGCAAAGTCTGGCTGAGAAAGCATGTTCACAAGGAGGGCTGTTCACGGGCCCTGTGTGCGGTCAGACCGCACACACTACACAGCCTCCAAGCTCCGCCCACTGCGTCCCTACATCAGCCTTTCGTCACCGCACACAGCGATCGCTGTGGCCGGTCGGCTCGGGACTGGCCACAGCGGACCGTCCACCGCACGCAGCCGTGACGTCAGAACCGCCTACCCATCCCCTACCCCCACGCCTGTCGCCTGCTGTACACACTGCACACACCGCACTCAGCAGTTTGAGGTGCCCGTGCACACCCCTCAAGAGTGGATCATGGGTGGATCGCCTCCAGCCGACCAGCTACCTCCTTGACTATAGACTCGTCACCTCCTTGGCTATAGACTCGTCATCTCCTTGGCTATTGACTCGCCATCTCCTTGGCTGTTGACTCGCCATCTCCTTGACTATGGGCCCGCTACCTCATTAGCCTATGGACCCGCTACCTCCTTGGTTATAGAGTTGTCACCTCCTTGGCAATCGTCAGCGACGAATTCTGCTCTAAAAGCAGCTTGGCCTCTTTCGCCTTGGGCGTCAAAACTGCGCTGATCCGCAATTCCGCAGTCCAAACCTGTCACTCGACGCTTCTGGGAGCCCGTAAGGGGTGCATTGAGCTATGGACAGACCCCGCTTGTCTGTAGTGCATGGACACAAACACTCGCCTCAGGATCGACACACCCGCTCGGAATAATCTGGGAAGATGGACAATGGACATTTGAATGAGACGAAACACAGGCTAGTGTAGCTGCTGAAGCGGATTGGACGCCTTTGAAGTGCCCTTTTTTCCGAATCGCCCATTCAAAGGCAGCATTTCAGCGCCAGCTTTGGAGGGTCCGGCTGCGGTTGGTGCGGAGATGCTTAAAGCCAGACGGGTCGGTGCCGACTGCCGAAAGGTTTAAACAATGGTCTTTGGAGCCAGACAGCCGTCGATGCCGGATATTTAAATTGCTGTTGGTGCTCAAAGAGTCAGCGAGGCCTGGGTTCTGGGAAGGGCAGCGGTCTATGCAGGGGTGGTCAGCAAGAACTCGGTGCAGAGAGAGAGAGAGTCGAATTTGTTTGATACACAAGAGAATCGACCAAGTTTTGTGCCGAGAGAGTCGAATGTGTCCGGTGCTGAGTAGACTGTGTTCGGTGCCAAGTCGACTAGGCGTGGTGCTGAGACTCGCCTGTGTCCGGTGCCGAGTCATACAGCGGACGGCATTAGCAGACGCACGCCGGTCGGTGTCCTTTCGCCAGTGCATGAACAGACGCCGAACGGCTAGTGGCCGGCCGCTGGAGACTGACCTCCCGCCGGCCGGCCGGCCCGGCGCGGTGGCGCCCCTCGTCCGGCCAGGGGCCGATGGAGGCCGGATAAGGACAGCGGCCCGGGCCGTTAGTGGCAGTGTACGCGGCGGCTGAGGCGCCTGGAATGTGGGCGCGTTGCACCAGCCGGGCCGCGGTGGCCCCTATTATGCTCACTCCGTACGCTGCCGACTGTGTTTGTTGTCAGGGGTGCCAGTCGAGGTCGGGCTGCTGTTCGGTGTCCCAGATGGGGGTGGCACGTTGCCCGTATTTGGACGTTTACCAGTTGACGCTGGTCAATTCGTCAATTCTTTCTTCACGACTTTTGTCCCTGCTGTTAGAAAAGCTGAAAGCCCTTTAGTTACTAAGCACCGAGCATGACCAATGTTAAACTGAACGGGTCAACTGATGCAGTACTGCCGGGTTAAGGAGTGCTGAGTTGGGAACTACCATCCCGCCCCCTTACCCCCCCCCCCCGCATCAGCCGTCGACTCCGCTCGCTGGTAGCGAGGACACGTGCAGCTGAAGCGCCCGGTAGATTCACGGCAAAAACCCGCCCGCCGTCCATGAACTTTGACCGCTCGCTGTTGGGCCGTGGAGACAGTACCACTATTCGATCCCTCATGAATCAGATGATTCAGCTGTTTATGTCCCGAAGATACACAGACCGCTTTTAGTTAACTTACGCTATCGGCAGAAACTAGCAAACCGTGTAGTCCTTACGTAGCTCTTGTTTACTCGACGGGCTGCAAAACGACATTCTCGGAGATAAGTGACCTCAAATTCAGGAAGCATTTATAGAACTGGTAAGACATGAGCTAGTTTTCACAGTCAATGGATGCTGTTTTCAACCGTTTTCGACAACGGAAGCGTGTGTTGCTACGCGAATTTTTCGTTTTTTTTTTTTGTCTTTACTGTGGTCTTATTCGATTGTTTGGGTTATTGCTTCTGAAGTTTCTGCAAATATTGACTGTGGACATTGAAAAGAATGTGAAGAAGAAGGAGAGATCATAATTGGCGACGTGTCTTCCTGCCCAACTGTCCCGTTTGTGTCCCGTGTGGTGTGGAGCGAGCCTTGACGGTCACCAGACGCGCTCGGCGTCCGCACAGTGCCGATGTCACAGTCCGGCGCAGTCCTTCCCCGTCCATACCGCGCGAGGGCGCCTGTCCAGCACTGCTGCGAACCGTCGGACAACCAACGGCCCGAGTAACGGCCCGTAAACGCTGCCAGTCGCCGGTCGCCGCCGGTCGCGGGGCAATGCGACGGTAATGGGCGTTTTGCGGTCGCTGCGGCGGCGACATGTGTGCCTAGCGCTGCTCAGTGGCCTGGATCGAGGCGGGCGCGTCTGACCGGCCGGCTGACCCGTCCGTCAAGCCGCGGCGGCAGGACCGGGCCCGATCCGTAAACAGTTGACGGCCCGCGAGCGGCGGATGAAAGGCCCGCTTGACGCTCCGACCGAATTCACACCGTACCGTAGTCAATATCAGTGAGTGGTCTGTCGAGGCCCCGAGGGGTGCAACGCCTGCTGACTAGGATGGCTTCTTGCTTTTGGAAAACTACTAACTTACAAATCTACAAAAGTCTGAGTGTTTTAGGCTTGAATGAAAAAATCGTGTTGATATAAGCACAGGTTGTTGGGTCATGTGTGGCAATGATACATGATATAACGTCCATTTATCATTTTAGTATATGTGAATTATTTTGATGTCTTGTTTTTCGCACACACTCTAAGCATGATAAGTAAGTGTAGGCCATCCCTGACCCTGGTGAGTAACCAGGGTAGGTGAGACCGAAGTTCTACCATAACTTAACTTAACGCCATAACTTAAGTCACGCTGACTGATCACCTGGCCGCGTCTGTTTTCCAGTGAGCATCACGGGCGAGTTTGTCGAGCGACTGCGGACCGAGTTCGCGGCCGACCCGAAGAACCGTCTGGCGCAGAACATCTGCACCAAGTATGACCCGAAAGAGGCGGCCAGGTCGCGCAGCGCCCTCGAGGAGGTTAACCACGTGTTCCAGCACAAGGTCAGTGCCAGCGGCTGGCGGCCGGGTCACGGGCGAAGCACCAGGGCACGCCGGAGGTAACAGGGAGGCCGCTCCACTTCAGAGCTCGAATACGGTTCGATCGATGTTGTCGGTTATCCGTGTTGTACTTGCTTGTATGCCCTGTCACGCCACGATGTGACTCCTGCATCCTGCTTTCCCCGGCCCTGGCAATGGCGGCTGCAGCTGTTGCCTCAGCATTGTCAGTTTGCTGAAGCATTCGCACACGAAATCCGATGTCTTTAGAAGGTCATCGGTGGTCCTTATTGTATATTTCCCTCGAAGGAATGCCTGCTCATCCGCGTACTGCTTTCAGCCATGTAGCTATAAAAACGCCTTTATTAAACAAATAATCCAACGCCCTGTGGGCAACCGACGTTCCATGAAGACTTAACTGTCTGTTTTCAGTGTATCCCTGTGTCCATGTCTTGGTGTGATTTACAGCATTAGCAGTATCCGCAGTTGCCTGTTCTGGGGATTCTACATATAGTAGGTAATATGGGACATTAGCCGGGCGGTAACTGAGCGCAGGATGCAGTCTGGCTAGAGGATCGGATACCAGATGTCTAAGAAAATGGAGGGCTGCGTGGATACGTGCTTGGTAATGTGTGGATAACGACGTGGAACGCCGTACGTGGCTTTGGCTTGGTTTATAATTAACATGGCAGTGCCTACACTTATACATCCGAGAATAGCTCTGAAGATTGCCGAATTCGTCCGAAGAATCCGACGACTCGGGTTGTTGCAACTCAACTCAACATGACCATCATGCCGTGTGCCCTCCGTCTAACCAGGCCGACTGTCGTGTTTGGCTCAGGTGGACGAGGTGCGGCCGCGCACCTGCCAGGGCTCCACCGGTCGGTGCTGGATCTTCGCCGGACTCAATGCCATGCGCATCCCGCTCATGAAGAAGCTCGACATTGAGGAGTTCGAGTTCAGCCAGGCCTACCTGTTCTTCTGGGATAAGGTAAGGCGGCCTAGTGGCGAGCGCTCGGCCTATTGTTGTACGTCTCCACTGTATGTGACCATGTGTCCGATGTATTTGATTGTGTATCCGCCGTAATGTGACCGTGTGCCGGGTGTTTATGACCATCATGTGTCCGGTCTGCCATATGTGGCATTTTGTTCGCCATATATGACCGTGTGCTCGCCGCATGTGGCCTTACGTCAGCTTTATGTGACCTTGTGTCCGCTGAATGTCCGCACTCCATCGCATCCAAGTATCCGTGCCTGGCACACGTGACAATATGTGTGAACTATCCGCCGCAGGTGGAGCGGTCCAACTACTACCTGCACACGGTGGTGGAGACGGCGCGGCGCGGCGAGCCCGTCGACGGACGGCTGGTCAGCTTCCTCCTCTCGGTCAGTGCTGTCTGTGGCCATCTGCGGTCAGCGGCGCGTCTCTGCCCGCGCCCCGGTCCGAGCACCCCACACACCCTCTACCTGGCTGGTCAATGACACTTGCGTGCCCGCTGAGACAAGCTAGCTGATATGTCTGTTATGTGCTGGAGCACAGACGTCTCTATATAGCTGGAGTGATACAATCTTCTCCGCGCATTGCACATTTTACGATGCAAACAAAATGTTAGTTATCTGCTTGCATCGCATTCTTGCTCTGCGCATTACCCATTTACCGTACAAGTAAAATGCTAGTTAGCTACGTGCATCGCATTCTTGCGTTTTACTTTTTCAGTCATACAAGGCATTTTATCGTCCGACGTCGAAAACTTACCTACTGATTGCGTGCAGATACATGGTTTTCCTCGTCAGTGTTCGACTAAAATTGTAGAGCCTTATCCGATTTGGAGTGGTTATGAGCGTTCTGAGCATCTCCGTCATAAGAATATTTCCTTTACCGGGATTGTAATCGTTTGCAATCTCAACAGTGTCAAACTGAAAAAGTAACTGGAGAAAATTACTTGTGTTTGTATCTTGCAAACAAAAACTGACTTATACAAGCAAGTAGCAGTTATCCATTTCTAGTGAAGTTATCACTGATGTCCAAGTGAGTAAAATGTGAAGTGAAGCGATTTCCTGTCTGAGGGTTATCAGATCGCTTAGCGGCCTCTTTGTGTGTGATGTGGATTGAAGTAGATGTCCACGCCTTTGTTGACCGCACCGATGGTGTCGCTGGCAGAGCCCCGTGTGTGACGGCGGCCAGTGGGACATGCTGCTCAACCTCATCAACAAGTACGGCGTCATGCCGAAAAAGTGCTTCCCCGATGCGCACAACTCCAAGTCCTCGGGCGTCATGAACACGATTCTCGCCAGCAAGGTGAGGTGCCATCGCCGCATCTGGAAGGACGGGGTCCTGGCGGGTCCGGACAGATTGCGAAGGAACTCTCACGTGAAAAATATTTTTATGATGATCATGTTCGCTGCCCGATCTATTTTGCAATGTTTAAAATAATAGCTTGCCCGAAGAAACCGCCACTTTGTTCCACTTTGCGTAGCTGATCATTAACCGGCGTTGTTTCCTGCGTTTCGTTTTGGTGCCCGTCCAGGGCCGTGGCCGGTAACACGTTGGCAGCTTCGAGCGGCTGGTCCGCTCCTCGGCGGCTGACGGGTCTGTCTGTCTGCTGTTTGTGTCTGGGTCCCGGCCCGCCGCCCGGCGACTGCGACTGACCGACGCTCTGTGCCCGGCAGCTGCGGGAGTACACCCGCGACCTGCGCCACCTGGTCGAGAAGGGCGCCACCGAGGCAGACGTCGAGTCGACCATCAAAGAACAGATGACGCACATCCACCGAATCGTCTCCATCTGCATGGGCATGCCGCCGGCCTCCTTCACCTGGGAGTACTACGACAAGAACAAGGCCTACCACAAGGTCGGGCCCGTCTCGCCGCTCGACTTCTACGAGGAACACGTCAAGCCGCACTTCAACGCCTCTGACCTGGTGAGGCGATGTGATACCGAGAACGGGTGCTGGCTGGGACCCGCCCGGCCGTGCCCCTTCCCCAGGCCGGCAGGGGTTAACACAACAGTCGCCGCCGCCGGAATGCACCGTCGCCACGCCGCGTCATCAATCACCAGCAATGGGAATGTTTACGCTGCCGTGTAAACTCAGATACGCCCCGGCTAGGATATCTCGGCCGATGCGACACTTCGCGGTGGTTATATAACAGCCGGGTGGCTATCGCAAACTTTTTTGTTACTTTACTACGTAAGGACGTTTTTTAACGGTAAGAAACGTTCGACGGAGGAAAATGCTTGACTTTTGGCAAACGGGGCATGTCCGAGAATCTGACGATCGCGAGTCCGCGACTTCGGTAGTAAGTGTCAGCAAGGCTCGCACCTCCACTGAGCTGCCGTTTGAATACTGAAATGATGCCGTTTGTGTACCATCTGCGCAGGTATGCCTGATCCACGACCCGCGTCCGGGCCACAACACGGGCGACGCGTACACGGTCGACTGTCTGGGCAACATGGTGGGCGGTCGGCGCACCATCTACAACAACCAGCCGGCCGAGCTGCTGGCGCGCCTGGCGGCCGCCTCCATCAAGGAGGGCAACCCCGTCTGGTTCGGCTGCGAGGTCACCAAGGCGTTCGCCGGCAAACTGGGCATCCAGGACCCGCTCATGTGAGTGAGACCGGCGGACGCAGGGGCGGGTGGGTGAAGTCTGGACGATGCCGTTTGTGTTTGATGTTGAGAGGTGTTATAGGGCAGTCAACAGGGATCTTAGTTCACCGTGTTTGACGAGACCATTATTTTATCAGGTGGTGCCGATCGCTGTTCAACTTCACTCGCTTCTCTTGATGTGCTAAGTGTGGTATAGGTCTACACTGTATTTATAATGCATCGTGTTACATTCAACTTAGGCTCACTGTAAGTTGTAACTGATAACAGCAGTTCGTTCTACCCTCTCATGCAGTCCCCTTTCTCTGATCACCCATGTGGCGTCCCCCCGACCTCGTCCCCCGTGTGACCCGTTTGCTGCTCCGGCCGGCAGCCACGACTACAAGCTGGTGTTCGGCACGGACGTCTGTCTGCCGATGACCAAGGCCGAGCGGCTGATGCACGGCGAGTCGATGATGGACCACGCCATGTGCTTCACGGGCGTCACGCTGGACGTAAGTCGGCACCCATGGCGACCGCCTAACAGATGGGGGATGGATGCGGGTCGCTGTCTTTTGCTGAGAAGTGGAAGTTCGATACGTAAGGATGGTTTGTTGATTGAATTATGTTTGATGGTTTGAGGTAATCAATATTGTTTTGTGGGTTTGTGCCTTGTGGGTATGAGAACAGCAGGCGTGTTGAATCTGAACGGGATAGCAAATGAGATTAGGAGTTAACCCGCGCCCTGCTGGGGGGGGGGGGGGGGTGTTTGAACACCCCCCCCCCCCTGTGGTTTTTCGCGAATATCTCAAAAACGGCGGCGCGGAGCGCCGCCGTTTTTGGTACACCTTACCATACATCAATTCTACACATGTTGTGAAAATTTCAGACCAAGGTCATTCAAGGTCAGGTCACCAGGTCACTTGAAGTGACCTCACCTCATAAAAACTTTCAATGTCTGTCATAGCTACACTGAGTGACCGATCGCTTTGAAACTTTCAGCGATTGCTAAGAGCAATAGCATGTACAAAATGTATATCTCAGAATTTTGATATCGATGACCTAAGGTCAGGTCAATTTTGCGACCTCCCCATTATAAGTCAATGGGAGAAAATTGAAATGCGCCTCTTTTGGATGAAAGACATTATAAACACTCCCAAACACCGAATTACAAGTGGTTTAGACACACTGAACTTGAAAATGGTGTCCGTGACCCTTGTTTATGCCCTGAGGTCATCTTAGGTCACAAATGGTATCTAACAGTTTTTCGCAAATAACTTTTGATAGAGGCATGCTAGAGCGATGAAAACGCCTTAGATGTGTTCAGCTCGACGATACGGATCGACTGATATGCAACATGACCCTTTCCGGTCAGGTCATGACCTTGACCTGAGGTCAAATTTTCAAGTTGACCTTTCAAGGTCAAGACATAGTTCATTCGATGCGTCTTGACGAGAGGAACACGATGCCGGTAAAAGTAAGCTCGTACAAGGCTTGGGTCAAAAGTTATTGCAGAAAAACTGTTTTCGAAAAAATCGGCTATTTTTGCAGTTTTTGCCCCCTGCAGGCAAAACCGTTGACGTTAGGTCAAATCTGAGAGAATTACTCAGAAAGGACGTTAATAGGGCTATCGAATGCGCTTTTCCGCGGCGCTGTAGCTCTATTGGTTCCCGAGTTATGCGTTGGCTTCTTGGAAATTTTCGACATTCGACCTGGAAATCGGCGAAATTTTGCCTTCAATGACCTCTGGTGACCTGACCTTTGACCTGACCAAAAAATTGACCGAAGTGATTTCGTCATTATTTTTTACGCTCTTTCGAACGCCGCCTTCCGCGTATCGCTACGTGGCCCAGGAGCCGAGTTACAAGGGGGGGGGGGGGTGTTCAAACACCCCCCCCCCCCCAGCAGGGCGTGGAAATCCAGGACCCCCAGCAGGGCGCGGGTTAAGACGAAACCGGACAAATTAGGAATTACATTCATTACTGGTGGGTGTTCCGCCCCGTCCACCTGGCCACCGGCCGCTCTCCGCAGTCCGCCGCTGACCTTGTGACCCTCTGCTACCGTAGGATGACGGCACGCCGGTGAAGTGGCGCGTGGAGAACTCCTGGGGCGAGGAGTACGGCGACTCGGGCTACCTGGTCATGTCGCACAGCTGGTTCATCCAGTTCGTGTTCGAGGTGGGTGACTGGTGGTCGACCCGCCGCCGAAAACGGGTACCTAGCTGAGCGGGAAACTCACAAGGAGATCATAGGGAACCGTTTAGTTAACTTGATGCGCTCCATTGATCCCTTTAGGAAAACTAACTTGCCTAGAGCACTACTTTTCACAAGTATATGCGGTAACCTCCAGCTGCTCCCTTGGATAACGGACTGATTCGCGACTGGACTACGCTCTGGCGGTCGTTCGGCAAAGCTGAGTTGTCCCGTTCCGCCGACAGGTGGTGGTGCACAAGAAGTACGTCCCGGAGGAGGTGATGGCCGTGTTTGAGAAGGAGCCCACCGTGCTGCCCGCCTGGGACCCGCTCGGAGCTCTGGCCCGTGTGTAGGCGGACCGGACGCACTGGCGCCACCGGAGGAGCCGCCGCCGCCGGCTCGCTGGCACCGCGCCGCGGAATCCAGCGACCGCCGGCAATGACCATTCTCGGCTGGCTGGGAGACTGATTGGCCTGCTGCTGACTTCTGAACCCGGTGTGGATATGGCGTGGATATCATGAATGTGAACTCACTATTTACTCTCTGGCAACGACACGAATCAGTTTGGGTGTATACTGATCAAGGAACGTTCGCCATAATTGAACGAACGCTATTAGAGATACTTAACCTATAGAAAGATCCTTTGAATCAAAGTGGTTTCATATCAAATCTAGCCTATTTTCTTTGGCCTAGTCTGACCTTGGAGGAGATCGGACGGTTTGACTGAGTGACCTCCCAGGACATCGGGTACTCGGTCGCGGACCATGTTGGCAGCGTCGCAACACGGTGCCTGGTGCCTGAGCGTGGCGGGCGGTCCGCAGACGGCCATGGCGAGCATTGTTAAGTACAACGCTGGTCGAGGAGCCAGTACGGGGCGGCGGGACTAGGCACGAGCGCCGCACGCGGCAGCCCTCAGCTCGGTCTCGCGATTCCGCCGCCGCCGCGCGCCAAGATCGGATGGTTGGCGGGTGTCGCGCTGGGCCGGCGAACCGTCGCGCGCCCCAAGATCTGACGGTGGGTGTTTTGCCAATGGACGGGCGGACCGGGACGGCCGGTCGGTGTTCGTGACGGGGTGCCCCGGGACTGGTAATCAGCCGGCGCCGAGCTGTGGTCCTGACGTTCTCAGGAGCGGCTGGCCACAGCCCCGATAACGACTGCGCGACCCATCCTACTCCAACGGGCGTCCGCGCACGTCCCCCGTTTGTCGCCGAGGCAACTTCTGTGAATACATATACGAGTGGTGGCTTAACTGTGTGTCGATGCTTGATACGGCGTGCGGGGAGGTGTAGCGCTCTCCGAGCCGCCGTCTGAGGTGACCGTTCAGATATAAACCGCGGTGTCATATCGCCGTTAGGGCTAGGATCGCCGACTGGCTGCGGTAACGCCTCATCGCTCAGCCAAAAGAAGCTACAAGGATTAAAGTGGGTGGTCTCCTTTATTTGGCTGTCTCATGAGTCAGAGCCCACCAATACAGGCCATATCTCAGGTAAGGAGCCTCCTTCTTCCTTGGTATTTCAAACCTGCAATGTCATTATATCTTTCATAATCGAGGTAACAACATGGTACTTGTTCACTTCAGACGAGGTAGAGACGATTCGTCAATGTGGATCAGACTACAGTCGCCTCTGTTGACAAAACCCGCCGCGGCATCCACAGATGGAATGGAGATCACATCACACGCGACGCTCGGCCCCGTCCCGAGGACTCGGCTCGTAGCCACAACCGTCCGGCAGTATCGCTGTCACGGTCCGTCTCTCCGTCTCTGTCCGTCCGAGTGGACGGGGCCAGCCGGCGGTCACCGCTATCTCGGCGGCGGGCGTTATCTGGCCGCCCCGGCGCGCTGCCGCTCGTACTGCAGCTTGTTCCAGACGCCGCGGCACATGGTACGCAGCCGCGGGTCGGTGCGGGCCGCCGGCAGCCGGTACTGCTGGCGCACCAGCGCGGCCGCCCACTCGAACCGGCCACGCTGCATCAGACTGAGCGCCGCGTACAGCTTACAGCGCGCCTCAGTCAGCGGGTCGCCGAGCCGCAGCGCCAGCTCCAGCTGCTTCACGGATATCCGACCGGCCATCTCGGCGCACTCGGCGAAATAGTCGCCCAGCGCCGAGAAGGCGCCGCCCAGCGTGGAGAGCCACGACATCATGTGGTCGAGCTCGCGGCGCTCCCACAGCAGCAGCTGCACGCGCCGACTCCAGGCGAGGTCGAGCGGCGCGGCGCCGGGTGTGGTCAGCCGCAGCCGCAGCCGGCCGGCCTGGTGAACGCAGACGGCGCGCCGCTGCGCCGGGCAGTAGCGCAGCTCGCGCACCACCAGGCCCGCCTGCAGACCGGTGACCGGGTACGAACGGCGAGCCGCCGGCGCCGGCAGCGGGGACGGCAGCGCCTCCACGGGCAGGCGGAGGCGCACCGTCGGAAACCGTCCATCCCCCACCACTGCTGCCCGCACACACAACATCGGCACCTAATGGGCAAAGACCCGTCATAAAGTACACACTGATATGCAGCATAAATTGGCAGCATGCATATGTATAGTACCTACCTAATCTGCCATCAACCATGGATTCTGAAACTGAACAGCCAAAACTTGAAGGAGCAGTACAAAGTAGGTAAATGCATCTCAATCTAGGAAAGTATGTGTGACACAAAAAAGCATAAAAGTTGAAACCTGTTACAAAAAAATGCCCCTGACCATATCTAACATGGATGAATAACATATCAGTCGTTGCTTTTCAAATTTGTTAAATGCTTAATTTCATCAAAAGAACTATCCTGATCCAATCAAGAAAGAGCCAACATACTTTAAGTTGGATTGTCATTCATGATTTCAGCCTTTACTGCATGACTTACGCCCATAATTAAAGGGTAGATTGACCTATTTTACAGCACACACATCATTACACATTGACATCACACACGCACACATCACTGTGCGTGTGTGTGCTTAGCTTATTAATCACTTAATAAGCTTAGCTTTAGCTTATTAATTACCAAGCACAGATATTTGAACACGTATTGGTATCTGATAAGTAGGTGTGAGTAAACATAGAAAAAACATTACCCACTCACCGTTTAATCCCCACAAATCCTCACAAACCAACAATTCAAACAATTTCAAATTGCTTACCTATGGGGAATTGGCTGCAAGTGAATGAATTGGTCAAGCTTTCTGTGAATGAAGATGTTTCACAGCTTGCAGGGTGTAGCAGATACTTATGACGCATTGGAAGGTTCCGCGAATGAAAAGGCCAGCTGCCATTCCTCTTATTGATAATGACAGAATAAAAGTAGAATCTTCAGGAAAAGGTGGAACATTATTTGTGAAAAGGTTGATGAAATAGAAATTAGGCAAAGAAATAGGAAAAGAGATCGTTTTCAAGGAAAAATATCCGTCAAATGCCAACAAAAGTCTAGCCAGCGGAAAGTTATCTTGTCCAATGGTGAGCGAGATATTCATCTGATGCAATGACGTAGATGGAAAAGCGCTGATTGGTCATGACTCGCATTGTTTATTGTGGCGCGGTGTGCCCGGTCGTGTTGATCGTGAATGAAGTTCTCGATGTTTCTCATTTGAATTGCAGGAATTCACGGCAGTGCTAATTTCTTCAATATTTGCTGCTGCTTTGCAAGATAACCAACAACATTTGGTGAGCTGACATTTTTTCATTCAGCCGCGTTCAAAGGTTAAAATGTGGTATCGGCTTATGTGGCGCACTGCTTTTAGTCATGAGGGACCAATATTTCCTTTGTCCTTTGTTGTAAGTCATTTTCTCACACCTTGATTTTAATGCTAAAATTTTTATTCTTTTTATCTTAAGTATCATTCAGTACTTTGCGTTGGTTTGGATACCCATACTGATAGGTATGATTGATGGTTATAAAGCCTGGCGGGCTGCGGACATGTAGTTACCTATATATGGCACAAGATGAGTGCCAGGGATGTATGGAAAGTAAAATCAAGATTGAGATGATTTTTATAGGTGGCCAGCGCAACCAGCGCTGGCCTGCCTGGGGGCTTTGGGTGTCTGTGTGGCTGGTTTAGTGTTGCTATGTTGTAGTTCTGGCCTCCGTCAAACAGAAGCTTGTGATCTTCTAAGTCTCTTTCAGTTTCTTTTGATCTCACTATGACCTATTTTGTTCCTTGTGCCTTGAATGGCAAAAGGTGCTTGAGATGTTTCACATCTGATTTTCTTTTTTTCTCCCCTTGGGGTCAAGGTGTATTTTTGAGGGATGGGTCCATTATTTTACTGTTTGAATTTCTTGTACTTTTTGTCTTGAAGTAAATATGCTTCAGATATTTTGGTTGGAGAATATGAAACTTTCTCTGCCAAATTGACCAAGAAATAAATTGCTGATGACATTTTTTTGCTCTGCCTTTTTGTTGCCCCATCACCTTTGTTCTATCTTCTGCCCACACATTTTTTTGCAAGTGGCAGTTGTAAAGATAAGACCTTTCCTTATAAATCTACCAACCATGCTTCTTTTTGCTTCTTTTTGTCATCATTATTTTTCACGTGGACCTTACCTTGCTGCCTTAGGCTCAAAATTCAAATTCCTGCCCAGCTGCACTAAAATGGTTGTTAGGTAGTTTGTGTGGTTAGTCACTGATAACTGATTATCCTGTTAATATGTTGCTATCAATCCTGCATTTTCTGCTGCCTTTCGATGTATTTTTCAAAGAAACTGAGCTGTACCAGTCATGTTGATGACTGGTGTTGCGATCGATTCGGACTCGGGCCGGACGGACGGGTACGGTCGGGCCGGACCCCACTGCGCCGGTCCGCTGGCACGAGAACAGAGCGGCAGTGCCGTCGGCGGGCCGCCGCGGGCACAGGGGTCCAGTCGTGTGCGCCCCGACCGTCCGTCCGGGCAGTTCGCCGCCCTCTGACGCCTGTCCGCCGTTTCAGACGCGGACACACGTCGTCTGACCCCGAACAAGCGCCGCCAAAAGTGTACAATCGCAGTCTGAGTACCGCAGGACCGGGGGAGTCGCTGATTGAAAGGCGTCCTGCCGCGCCGACCGCGTTTACCGCCGACAATGCGGCTCTGACCGGACAGTGAGCTGCCAGTGATCGGACCCGCGGCATTGCTGTAAACTGTGAACGGTGACTAAGCCGCAGCCATGGTGAGCCACGACAAGAAACTGTACAATAACCTGGTGCAGATGGCCATGCTGGCCAGCCTGCTGCGCTTCCAGCCGGAGCTGGGCGGCGTGCACGACTACGAGCCGCCGCTCGAGGCCGACCTGATCCTGGGCCAGAGCTGGGCGCACACCTCTGCGCGCACCGTGCACGCCCACCTGGAGCACGCCGCGCACCACAAGAACATCGACAACGTCATCGAGCGCTACCAGGAGGAGCTGTTCGAGGAGCTGCACTCGCTGGGCCGGTACCAGCGGCCGTTCCGGCCCAGCCACATCCAGGCTTACCAGCTGCTGGACGGCGAGGCGGACCTGCCGCTGCCGCCGGAGCCGGAGCCGGAGCCGGGCCCGCCGGTCACCAACAGCACCCTGCTGCAGTCAGCCAACGTCAGCGAGGACCTCTCGTCGCTGTCGGGCCTGTACGACTCCCGGCCGGAGCCCGAGCTGGACCTGGACCTGGAGCTCGACCTGGAGCTGGGTCTGGAGCGCGACCTGAGCCGGCGGTTGGAGCTGGAGCTGGAGGCCGGCCTGCCGCTGCCGCCGCCGCCGGCCGAGTTCGACGTCTGGGAGATGATGGACGCCGACCTGGCCGAGGAGGCGTCGGCCGCCGAGCGCGTCCGCTCCAGCCTCGGCGCCGACACCGGCGACGACTTCATCCAGTCGGACGTGGACATGTCGGACGAGGTAGGTGGCGGCGTTAGCTGCCGCTCTGAAGCAGTCCTGTATTTTGTGTCAATGCTAGCCGAGGGCGCGGCTTCGGTCCTTTTTATACGAGACTAGGCTTTTTATTGTTTTACGATGACTCATTAGCTCAGTTCCACAAATACCGATGCCAGCAAGAACCCCGTGGCAGGGTTGATTAGCCCACGTTTCTTTCAGGATTACATACGATAGTAAAAACTGGTAGTGGGATCAGCCAACGAGCTGCGTTTTGCAGCAATCCAGTCCGCCTGAATTGCCACACTGAAGTGCATGGAACCGTTCTTACCGCAAGCGGTCTCTTAATCTCTCCAACGATTTTACCCTCATGAAGCCGGTTTCTTTGACCACCAATGTCCTTATTCGGCTAACATTTATTTTAGTATAATTAAGTAAGGATCTCTCTGTTGGTGCTGTTTTCGTGTCGAATGTTTGCTGATTGAATAGGGTCACCCTGGTTCTTGCCTGCTGTGTGCCGCGCTGTTTTGTGAGCAGCCCGGGCGCGGCCGGCCCAACCGGCTCACAGTCATGGCCTGCTGTTCGATCGATACGGCCGGTATTGATGCGGGCGTGTCCGTTGGCTTTGAGCGGCAGCTCACAGATGCCAACTCGCCGGTACACTTGGTTGGCGGCTAATGGGGCTCGCTTGTACTCCCGTATCAGGTGGCCCTCGCCCAGTCCAGAAGCGTAATGGTGACTTCTGGCGTCGATTTGACACTCATTTGGCCAATTACAGTGACGTCAGAACTCAGTAGGTAATATCCAGCTACGATACTGACCGCTGATCCTCGCTATGTTTTGATTTGTTTTATTCAGGAGGTGAATGGTAAGGGCACTTGTCGGTGAGTCAATGCTGTCTTTGTTCGAATCCTGGCGGGCTGTTGAGAAGTTCGTAGTTTGTTTACACGCGTCAATTGGTGGTCTCTGAGTTGACGCAACTGAACTTTATCCCTAGTCTGATCCGTGTATCCAGGACCAAAAAGGATCCATCAGTACTTACATATGTTACGCGTTATCCACCCCGTTAGTCCGTGCGTCTTCGACTGGTAGGTGGAATTGTTTCAACGGAGGCTGCTTCAGCTTATCGATGCCCGGATTAAAGAATGACCATTGAGTGTTTATTTAGGACATTCTGGTACGTTTCGGAAGATCCTGATCAAAGGAAAGTCGGGTAGAAACTCTCGTCTTGTATGCTTGAGGGAAAGTTTTTGCCGGCAGTAATGCGTGCTATTGTCAGGATTATTGATATGGCAGTGACGGATGCGTCATCGGCTCCCATGCCCCAAACAGTTGACTGATCTCATGCCAACGAATCAACGAATGTTACTGGAAAGCTGACCAATGTGCCATATTCTCCTGTGGTTACGAATGGCACCCTCCAACCTACGCTCCACTGCTGTTCGCGTCTCTCAGAAACTTGGTCTTTGTTTGAGGGGCCCGTAGCTGCCATCCAACTACGAAGGTTAGGTAAATCATATGTGAGCGCGCCCACACTCTCGAACGACTTGGCTTTGCCCCAGCTGCCGACTCTAGCGGCAGTTACGGTGTTTTGCCTCGGCTCTTTATGCCGTGAATTTCGCCGTGAGGCGGAGGCTCTGTGCCAAGGGTCAAGCAGTTCTATGTTTGGAGCGTAGTTTGTTGTAAGGTGACCTCAGGCGACTTCATTTCGCCGGTGTGCTGTGGAGGATAGGTATCAGAGTGCGGCGGTGTGTATAAGGAGAGGAAATATAGCGCGCCTACGTCGTGTCCATAGCTGCAGCAGCGCACTGCACGGGTCACGAGGCACGGCGTTCCCGTTGGCAGACCGCTGCCACTCCTCGGACCCGTCGCTGCCCACCGGCGGCTACCCACGCGGGACCTTGAACCTGGACGGTGCGTCGCACTGCTCGCCCACGGGCTATGTGTAGTAGCACCGACCGCTGACGTCAGGTGCCGTGCCGTCCCGGACCGGGCCCTTGTCCGGGGCGCCGCCGGCTGTGCAGTTGGCCCCCGTGCCAGCCAGCGCGGCTCCATGGGACGGAACTCGTCCCTTTGACCTCCCTCATCATCACGGGACACCGGCGAGGCTCGGTCTGAAACTGGCCTGCTGACTCACCATGATGGTCCACCTGGGGTTCGTGCGGCACTCGGCTCTGGAGTGGACCTCACAGGGCCGCGGTGTTGACACGAGCGGTCTTCCGACCCGAAATAGCGTGCTGGCTCTTCCTCTTGTTTTTGTTTTGGTTTATTTTTGGTGTGATGCAATTTGCATCAGTTCTTGATCGACATTCAGCAAGACGTTCGTATGGAACTACTGGATGGTAAATTGGTGTACTACTTATCAATCTTACGAAAAGAAAAGCTTTCGATCGGCATGCGATCCCGCACATTCTTCGTTTGTAATCGTTACGTAATGAGTCGTCGATAAGCGTTGTATGTTTGATATACGTCGAGTCGACAGCGTTATCGCCGTGGAATTACGAGAGGCACTGACGTGTGCGCGTTCGTGGACTGGGTGGACTCTGAGCAAAGTGCAGGGAATTGGGGAGGTGGACTAGCGTTTCCGTGTGTGAGCGGGTCGACTGCTCCCGCCGGGTATGGGTAGTACGGGCTGACGGATTGTGGTGAGCTCGGGTATAAAGACGTGCCGTCCTGAGAGCGGTCCCGGCCCGTGGCGTCTGTTTTGCTGAGTCATCATACTGGCATAGTGCCACGGACCGTCAGCCTTCGCGGAGCTGCGCCTGCATGCTCGGCCCCGTCGCGACCGTGATCTTCCCGTCAGACTCTCCAAATTTCATCTGTTTTTACGCCATATGCTGATTAAACCAGAAATCCTTAGTAAGGCTTTCGTCAAAATTATAACGATAAATATGTAGTCTGCTGATGGCTCTGGCCGTAGATATTCTTGCCCATGTCATATATTTTTGTTACCATAGAGCTGTTGCTGATTATGTTCGTCAGTTCCATGTCTATCTCGCTGATTTCGTAACCACCTAGCCCCTTCCCCAAGGGACACTCTGACGGCGTTCTTTGCGCAGTCTCGACTTGTGAGCTGTGCGATCGAGTCCAGCACGCCTCAGCCCGGTGCCCGGCCGGCTTGTCCAGTAATCACTGCCCATCCCAGTGTAGCACACCTCAGCTCAGTACGGTGCCCAGCCTACTTGCCCATCCCATGGTATCTCGCCATACTGGTTATAATCGGGTTACGATGTGTTCCACGGAGGTTAATTCAATCTGCGGGCCACTGAGCGCAACGCCTTATCCCCAGAGCCGGTTTCGCTTTCGTCTCTGGTCTAGCTCGCGACCCACGGGATCCCCTGGTTTTTGACACCTGCTGAGTGCTGATGGTAGGAGAAGATGTCTGAAATGCCTCATCGCTCGACTCGCAGCCCATCTTTGGTCCACACTCCACTCGGCTACGTGGGATTAAAAAGGATGGATCGCCTTTTGTTTTGGTGGGTTAGCAGTCTATTGGACGTCTGCATTGCGCCTTCAGTCCATAGAGACCATTTTAGGGTTATATAATGACGCAGGGGTGAAAGATAATTCTGCGTCAACCACCGACGGATGTGTTGCGGTGGCTGAGATCATCCTGTTGAGACGGCATTGTCCCAATTCCCAATTCTCTTTCCTGAGGGCAGAGAACGGATGCAAAAGACCAAAAAAAAAACGGATGTGCCTGACAAACTCATCCCTGTAAGATACCAGATCATTTTCTAAATCCGATGATCCGCTAGGAGCAGAGTCCGGTCAGGTTCCCTGCTAGATCGCCAGGTGGCGCTTACTCTCAGCTTCTCCCTTTGACCACCAGGCGGCGGATATGCGACCCTCTGTTCGTGCATCTGCGGCTTCCTCGCCCTGGGAGGTGCTGCCATCTGCGGCTCATTTTGCTGCAACTCGTCACCTATGATTTCGTTCGGTCCCATAGATGGCGGATATGTCGAGGCTGCTCCTTCATCCATGATCCAACCAAATTCAGACTGTTCTGGACTGAAGATGTATACTGAACACTGAACAGTGGCCTGGCGGGTTATTTATGAATATTTTCAGTTTCTATCTGTCGTCACTAATTAATCTGTTGTGCTCCCTAATCATAACAATCCCATGCGGGAGGATGCCACGCTGTTCAGTAGCATCCCCAGCGGACGCGTCCATCTGCTTCAGCTCCGCTGGCTGGTGTTCTGTCCTCCGCTCCTCTCCTCCTCCAACATCTTTGGCTTATTATGATTCACCGAACCGACATCCTCACTCTGCTACACCGTCCGTCACGCTTCATTCTGACATCTCCTCTGGTCTTAAGTTGTGCTCCCATCGCGTCGGTTGGCAATCGTTACTTCAACGTGGCATTTTCCTCGAACCGTGATTCGCCTCATAACCAACTTCTGCCGTTTACTTCACTGCATACTGACATTCTCAACTGATCGTCGTCACCAAGGCGTCGGCACTTTGCACCACCAGCTGCATCTGAGCTGTCTTTTCTGCCGATACCTTCCTATAGTCAGCGGTGCTAGCGTCTCCTGCTGGCGAGTTAACGATTGGCCGTCATTATACCGTCCATTTAGATCTTGTCGACACGACGAGGCGTGCTCGAGTCTGTACGGGTTCCACGTCACAGATGTAGTAATTTATGCTGATGACGGTGGCCTTCTCGACAGGACGTGCCATCGTCTCTGGTCTAGCTCTTTGTTTGAATTCTAGCAATATATTAAAAGGTGCGTTTTGACTTTTGAGTTTTTCGCAAAACGTCATGCATGTCTTAAAGCTATTTGTAAAAATGTGTCTCTGAAATGTTTACCTTATCCTCACTTCTAAAAAGTGCCAAAATGACAGCAATGTTGTGACTAGATACTCACGCGCATGTAATACTTATGTCAAGAATGAGCAAATGTTCCCGTCCCTTAACCCTATTAGTGGCAGGCTCCTGGCTACCCCTATTAGTGGCAGGGGGGGCTGTTTACGACCCCTCCCCCCTGATACCTCGAGATCTAACGGGCCGATTTTCAAAA